TATTATAATTACTATATATTTTAATCATTCCTGATTTAATTGATACTATTAGTAGAAGTACGCAAATGTTTATATATAATATACTTTTGCCAGTAATCTCGCAATATTCATTTTATATATATTCCTTTATACATAAATATAAAGGTTAATATCTAATACAATAAGGACGTATCGGTGAGTATGATTTAATTTGGTTAGATCAAGGACTTCACTTTTTCAATGATCGATTTACACTCTGCTCATATGCTATTTTGCTATTTAATGAAAATGTATAAATATACATTTCTATATTATGTAACCTGTTAAATACCAATAAATACAATTGGAAATGTTGAAACCTAACTTATGCAAAACTTTTCGAATCAGAAATAAAATATAAAACGTTAAAATAATAAAATATTAAAAATAAAAACTGTCACTGAAATTCAAGAAATTTCTTGACTTCTTGTCAAGAAATCTTGGTCTTGATAACAATTTCTTGTCTTGGTTTTGTCTTGATTCAATAAAATTTTGTATATGAATAATGATACGTATTGTGTAGAAACTGTAAGTGTAATTTCGACAAATTTGTAATCTGTAAACACAGATTACGAAACTTAATAAATTGTAAGTATTTCAGAAATGATATTTAAATATATGTTTAATTGATACGTACGTACTATTTAAATTTAGTATGTCGAGGTAATAAATTTAAATATTATTTAAGTATCAATCAAGTACATATTCAAATATATATTTCTGAACTACTAAAAATAGCTGAAAACTTTTTGGTAATATTTCAAAAAGATTGCAGATTCTTTCTGTACCATTTCATCAATCTTTCAATAAGGTGCAAAAATCGCGGACATTTTGCTATTCCAAAGCTGTCTCAGAAATGTTGCAGACATATTTCGCAATTTTTATGAAGTGTTTCACTTTCAAGTTGAAATATTTCTGAGGTATTTCTGAAAATTTTCGGTGCTGTATTGGTATGAACCGATCATATTGACAAATTTTACAACTGTTACAAAGCTGCTTTTTCTGCTAAACGCAGCCATTATAGATATCAATATACTACTACTACTACTAATTATGTTTAAATATATACCATTTGACAAAATCAGTCTTATCAACGCTTGTTATATGGCTGTACAGGATGGTTTAGCGTAACTTATTATAAGGAACACTATAAGTTACTTTGTGAATACTGGCTATATATAGCTAGCGTTCGTTTATACAGGTTGCTTCGTGGATGCTGAACGTAGCCGGTGTTAAGAACGAAAGGGTTAAATTCAAAAGAATTAATTGTAAAGATCTTGAATATGATCTATTTTATATGTACGTATTTATTCTATCATATATTATATATACAGAGTGAGACAGAAACTGTGCTCACTTAGAATATTACCGCTATTTTTAGAGATATGAAGTAATATATTTATTAAAGTTGTAAAGCATTAAGGGAGGTATAATATATTACAAGTAGTTTTTCTGTGGATGGAGATGCTTCGGAGATTTCAAAGTCATCTCTACTTTTTTAAATGGAACTGTATTATTTTTTTTACATAATACGGTTTCTCTAATTATATTGCATATTAAATTATTTAAAAAATAGGTAAAAGGATCTTCATATAAAATTAATAAATATATAAACAAAGGCAAAGTAAGAGTCAATATTCAAATAAAATTAACGTTTAGTATTGTAAATGTAAAACATATATATAATTTCCTAGAATTTCAACGTAAGTTCGAATGTAACAAGATATATTATATATATAAAACTTAGAAAATATGTAACTTAGAAAATATGTAATAAAATATATAACAAGATATTTATCTTTTTATATTGATTTTTATACTCTTACTTTGCCTTTGTTTATGTATTTATTAATATTAAAGTATTATGGTAGGGATATCAAAAAACTAATAGTTTACGAGATACTCTTTGTACTATATTCTGGCATACATTGACATAAAATATTAAATAACCCGTAAAGTATTAATTTTTTTTTAATTCTTAATACTTTTATGAACAGAATGATGAAATGAATAAATTGATGGAAAGAAAACACTTAGATGCTTATTTAAAAAATTGTTCTTTTTTGCATATATGTATATACAACACATATTCCGTTTAAAGCAACTATGTGTTTTCTTTCCACTTATTGATTCATCTCATTATTCTGTTCATAAAAGTATTAATGTACGATTATAAAAAAAATTAATAGTTTATAAGTTATTTATATACTTGTTAAATGGATCCGAGGAATGCTTGGACGCCAAGTGACGACATCGCTGGGTATGGTGAGTGTAGAAGGATGGGAGGGGAGGGATTGTCCCAAAGGGGAGTCCTCTCACCACTCTTGTGGTGCCTAGTAGCGGATAGGCTACTTGAAGAGCTTAATGACAAGGGCTTCAAGGCAATCGGGTACGTTGATGACTTGGCGATCCTGATAGGAGGCCCTTTCCTAGAAACGCTCCTAGAGCTCACACAAGGGGCTCTAGGAGTGGTAGAGGAATGGTGTGAGAGGACAGGCCTATCGATGAACCTGAGTAAGACAAGTCTGGTGATCTTCACACACAAGTACAAAATAGGCCCCGTGGAGGGGCCCGTATCGAAGGGAGTCAGACTGACTCCTGGAATGTCAGTCAAGTATCTGGGAATTGTCCTGGATAAAAGATTGAACTGGAAGCTGCACCTGGAATCAGTGTGTAAGAAAGCCAGCACATACTTTTGGATGTGCAGAAGAACCTTTGGGCAAACTTAGGGATTGCAGCCAGACAGAGTGTTTTGGCTATACTCTACGGTGCTCTGACCAAGATTGCTCGATGCTGCGGTGGTCTGGTGGCCAAGGACACAACAAACCGAGGCCCGCGCATCACTGGAACGCGTCAGGGCTCTCTTCTTAAGGGGGGCTCTGGGTGCAATGAGGACAACGTCAGGCGGCAATGGGAATGCTGCTCGGCATAGAACCACTCCATCTCGCGATAGTGGCGGCAGCAGCGGTCACGGCGTATAGGCTGAAGTGCGAGGGAAAATGGATGAGTGGTGTGACTCACACCCGGTTACCGCGGGAGCTCCAAATGGAAACTCTGTTTGACATGAGGCAGGATAGAATGCCAATAAGGCGCGACTTTGACAGATCGTACAAGATCTATATTCCTAGCCGCGAGGACTGGGAGAGGCATGAGGTGTCCGCTATCAGGAATGGGGACGCCTGGTACACGGATGGCTCCAAGACTGATGAAGGCGCCGGTGCCGGGATCTACGGATGTCGTAGTGGAGTCAAGGAGACTCTCCCTCTTGGAGAGTTCACCACTGTCTTCCAATCGGAAGTGGTAGCGATTATGGGCTGTGCTCAAACGCTAACCGCATCAGGTGAGACAGACAGACGCATTAGGATATGCTCCGATAGCAGGACGGCTATGGGGGCCCTGGGGGCATGCGTTTTTTATTCATGGCTGGTCTGGGAATGAAAATGTGCTCTGAACAGACTGTCCACGGGCAACGATATTGCTGTCGTATGGGTTCCGGGACACTCGGGAATCAAAGGTAATGAGATAGTTGATGAGCTGGCAAGAAGTGGCTCATCAGCCAGGCTGATGGGACCGGAACCGGCTCTAGGTTTGCTCAGCTGCATCTGCAGAGCAAAAATAAAGGGCTGATTACCGGACCGTCATATCAACTACTGGAAGGAAGAGACAAGAACCAAATGCAGAGAAGCAGGCGAGAGCCCTGCTGGGAAAGATGCCCAGCAGGGACCTTGCCAAGAGCATTAGGGCCTTGAGGAGAGGGGAAGCCAGGCTGGCGGTGCAGATCTACACAGGCCATGGCTTCACTAACTACCACATGCACAAGCTGGGGCATAG